GCAGGTAGTTAGCAGCCAATTAATATTTCCAGCACTGAATACAGTAAGAAGTATAATTATTATAATAAAAAAAAACGCGAAACCTACAAGGGTCATACAGTGCAGCAGGGCAGGGAAGAGTGCAGGGGTAGAAGGTAGCAAGAGGTTGAGGGAGAAAGGGCTGTAAGGAGTGCTAGAGGCATCATCATCAGAGTTTGTGCAGTAAATCAGTTGCTGTCAAAAAGTCAATGAGAGAGTCTGGGTTAAAGGAGGGTCCATCAGCAAGAAGGGAAGGTAAAGCAGCGACGACAGTGGAGGTAATTGTGTGCTCATTGATAGAGTGGGCAGTCCAACAGAATGTGGCTAACAGAAACTGGAACCTGACAATTCTCAGAGTAGGACAGGGCACCACTCAATGATATATCTGTAAGGCGAGCGTGGTGAATGAGAAAATGGGAGAGAGTTGTCTCCCAACCTCGACACTGATAAGATGGCCAGAAACCTATACTTGGATTAATAATATGTAATTTATTATGTAGTGCATCAGACCAACGGTGTTGCCAATGGCTGCGAAGGTGGGGAGCAATTACAGCAATGTGAATGGAACATTTACTATTGACTGTGTAGCAGTGTCTGCCTGTTCATTGACCTGTACATCAACATGACCGAGGATCCAACAAAAAACAATACCTTAGTGCTTGCTAGAGATATTGCATAACCAAAGTTAGATACGAAGAACCAGGGGATGAGGTGTATGAAGTTTTCGTATAGCCTGTGAAGTTGATAAATTAAGACATGTGCAACTCTTGGGTATCTTTATTGAGGAAACGTTTCGCCACACAGTGGCTTCATCAGTCCATACAAAGGAGAATCTTGAAGAACAGGAAGAGAATGAGGTAATCAGTCCCTCAACCTTGAGTCGATGTGGTCAGTCCATCAATCTTGAAAAGAATACGGCATACGTGCTGAGAAGGAGCTTATAAACCGTTGGCAGGAGAGGTGCAGCAGTCATAGGTGGTGTAACATTTGTTCAATGTTGAAGTAGGTCGTGCCCAAGAATTAGGCAAGCGAAGAATTCCCAAGTATTAAGATCCCAAGAAGTTGCAGTGTCTGACAGGTTTGTAGATGAATGGTTCAGAGAACCGACATGTTGATAAATTAGACACATGTGCAACTCTTGGGTATCTTTATTGAGGAAACGTTTCGCCACACAGTGGCTTCATCAGTCCATACAAAGAACCATTCATCTACAAACCTGTCAGACACTGCAACTTCTTGGGATCTTAATACTTGGGAATTCTTCGCTTGCCTAATTCTTGGGCACGACCTACTTCAACATTGAACAAATGTTACACCACCTATGACTGCTGCACCTCTCCTGCCAACGGTTTATAAGCTCCTTCTCAGCACGTATGCCGTATTCTATTCAAGATTGATGGACTGACCACATCGACTCAAGGTTGAGGGACTGATTACCTCATTCTCCTCCTGTTCAAGATTCTCCTTTGTATGGACTGATGAAGCCACTGTGGCGAAACGTTTCCTCAATAAAAATACCCAAGAGTTGCACATGTGTCTAATTTATCAACATGTCGGTTCTCTGAACCATTCATCTACAAAGCCTGTAAATTACTAAGGGAGTCTGAAGCGACCACAAATGGTGACAGACATAGATGCAATACAGATAAGTGCTATGAGAATAGCATGCAATTCAGCCTAAAAATACTAGCTGGGATAATAAATGCCCTCGCAGAACGCTGTCCGGAAACACCACTGCGAATCCAACGTCAGAAGACTTGGAACCATCGGTGTACACTGCGATGGCATGAGAATGAGATTGGAAGTGGTTAAGAAAGAGCAAGAAGCCACCGTAGGCAGTTGGGTTCTCGCACATGGCAGTGGGAAAGAGCAGACACGAACTATCGGAACTTCCCAAGGGGGATAGGGAAAAGTGAGATGCTACTTGAACATAGAAAAGTGGTAACTGAAAAGAAGACAAGAGTGAATGTAGGCAAAGAGAAAATGGAGTAAACAGGGGCGACGAACAAATAAAGTCTACTAATATCAGTAACCATCCTATATTTGGAAGGATAGGGGAGGTCATGAGAGCAAACATAATAGCGAAGGCAATGAGCATCACAGCGATCGGACAAGGATGAAATATTCGCCTCTGCATAGAGGCTCTCAACTGGTGAAGAGCAAAAAGCACATAGGCATAAACGTAATCCCTGGTGATGGATGGGATTAAGACTAGAGAGAGTTGCAAGAGATGCCGCTGAATATACCCGGTTGCCTTAATCGAGTTTCGATAAAATTAGGGCTGAATGTAGTCGAAGGAGAGTTCTACGATCAGCCCCCCCATGAAAGATGAGCGAGGGTTTTAAGAAGGTTCAGCCGGCTATGACAAATTGCCTTCAGAGAAGTAATGTGAGGTTTCCAGGATAACCTACAGTCAAACAGAAAACCTAGAAACCTGACTATCACATTCTGGGATACCTGAGCCCTATAGGTACAATGGATGATCAGACAAGAACGTCTAGTTAAAGTAATCTGGCGAGTTTTGGTACTAGGAAATTTAAACCCATGAGTGGTGGCCAAATTGGAAACATGGTTGACCACATGCTGGAGAGAAACTGCAGTGATGTGACAGCCCCTGCACAAGCTATATGCGAAGTCATCAACATATTGCAATGGCCAAATATTGGATGGAAGAACAGAGGCCAGATTATTTATAGCAAGGAGAAAAGTGGTGTGCTCAGAACACTCCTGGGGGACACCTTCAGCTTGGACAAAGTCCGGAGAAAGCCTAATATTAACCCGAACACAAAAAATGTCTTCCAGTTAAATTCTTAAGAAAAAATGGTAGATTGCCACAGAGGCCTATGGAGTGGGCCTGGGCCAAGCTATTATACCTCCAAGTTGTGTTATATGCCTTCTCAAGGTCAAAAAAAGATGGCGATAATCGAGTTGTTATTGGCAAAGGCATTACGGACATACGTATCTTAGCGTAGTAAGGATACAATGGTAAAACGGCCCTTATGAAAGCCATATTGACTAGTGGAGAGACTTGTGTGCGTCTAAATACCACATCAAACGTCTATTTACCAGACGATCCATCACCTTGCATACTGCACTGGTAAGAGCAATGGGACGATGGTGGGAGTCATCATGTCCCGTAGTACCGGTTTGTGGAAAGGGAGAACAATGGCAGATTTCCACAGCTGGGGAAGAACTTGTGACCAAATAAGATTGGAGAGACGCAATATGACTGCAAGGGCTTATTGATGTAAATGCTGTAGCATACGAATATGATTGCCGTCAGGCCCAGCTGCCGATGATCGGCAAGCTGAGTGTCTCCTCCAGTTCCAGAAGTGTAAAAGGCACATAAGATTCTTCTCTTTTAGAAGAAGTTTAAGGGCTCTAACTCTCTGGTAGACTTTGAGGAACAAAACGAGGGGCATAGATGAAGCCCCTGAGAGATACAAACAAGATGACTACCAATTTCGTTGGCAGCTTTAAGAGGGTTTGCGATATCAACACTGGCAACCTGAAGAACAGGAGCTGGGTCGGGAGAGCATTTACCTTTCAGTATCCGTACTTTTTTCCAGACTGCACTCAGAGGAAGCATAGGCGATGGTAGAAACAATCCCACCAGCAAGTGCGTTTAGTGTCACGGATGACACGGCACGTGACTGCTTGCTTCTACTTAAAACTGATGAGTGTGATTCTGTTGTACCGGTACCTGTCTCACACAGGGCGTTTCAAACATACTGCCCGAGCACAAGCAGGAGACCATCAAGGCACGCACTTCTAAGAATGCCTGCCAGAGGTTTTGGGTAAAGAATGTGAAGCTGCAGTTAAAACTGAGGTCGAGAAGAGGTGTAAAAGTTCATCAATGGAACCATACCCCCGGCCGGGATTGAACCCGCGGTCATAGAGTCTCAAAACTCCAGCCCGTCACTAAAAGCAGTTAAGACGAGAGTAAAGGTCCCAATTTGGTTCATCAAATTGCCAGCGTGGGCTACAAGGAGGTGGTGAATACGAGGGAGAAGCAAGGATGATTGGAAAATGATTGCTGAAATGCAAGTCCAGGAGGACAGACCAGGTGAAGTCTGGTACAGTTGAGGAAGAGCAGGTTCATGGATTTGGAGCTCCATGGTTATGTCGCTTCTTTCTTGTTGCTTTATAGAAAAAAAAATGGGTGGAATGTGAAGGAATAGCACCTAGGAGGCAAAGAAAGAGCTGTAAATTCCCCTCTGTGTGCAAGAGGACCCCAGCACTGCAAGTAGTGCAGATGTGGCATGGAACCCGCGCCATACCCTACCCTTCATGCCAGCATGCCAGAAAACCAGCAATGAGGATAGCAACCTCACACCTGAGCCACCTCGGTGGACAAAAGCGAGGGGGGCCAGACACCTGCCATAGCGCATACCTTCTTCGGCCACCACCTCTGGAATCCAACAGGCAGGCCCCAGAGATACACCTGTCACCCGAAAGACTCCCAAAGTCACTCCCCGGGAGACCAGAGAGGAATCGGGACACCTCCAGGTGATCCAGATTCCACAGCAAACTACACAACCGTCAAGGACCTCAACGGGATGGGATGGAACTAGAGTGCCTGTGGGAAGAATCCCAAAGGCTGAAAACAGGAAGGGAATAGAGGGATAGGGAGGAGGAGAAGGAAAAAAGGGAGGATGGGATAGGGAAGGGAGGACTTCGTGTAATTAGGTTTGGTCTGAGGAAGGAGACCAAAAAATCTAATTCATCAGACACATTCTTCACCGCGTCAAGGAGCCCCCTTTGAAGAGGAGTAGAGTAGAATGATTTACTATCATAAGGAATTTGAAGTAATCAGTCCCTAAGCCTGGAGTTGATGTGACCAGCCCATCAGTCTTGAAAACAGTCCAGCATATGGCGAAATGCTCCCGAGTGTTGCACAAGTTTGAGGGACTGACCATCGTCAGGTATCAGAAGGAAACAAGATAAATTCTGAGGGATAAATTGAACAAATTTCAAAAATGTCTTTAATAATTTAAAAGTTTTAATAGATAGTTCATCGTTTTGCCACAGCTGGCCAAACCTGCCTGTGTTAATTTCTATAATATATTGGTAATATAAAATTTTCTCAACTTATGGATCCTTGTTTCATACATTAAAAACAAAACTAAAAGTGAAACTATTTAAAATTAAGAAAATTTGGAAATTGCTAAAAGGCAACAATCCATAAAAGATAAATATCTTTAAATATCGTTCTTGATAATTTCACCCCACCTTATTTACAATTACCCCCACCAGTCAACTTCCCTCCCCATTAATATTACCCACCTTTAGTTTCATCTTGCCTTTTAATTTCACACTCCACTGTGATATTGACTGTAGACTCTAAATGACTTGCCTGGTTATGTTTGATTAAAGAATTTTTATTTGAGAAGTTTTCTGGACACAAGGAGCACGTATACGTCCTCTCTGTGTGGATTTTCATGTGTCGCTTCAGATGTGACATTTGTTTAAATTTCTTTGGACATTTTAGACACTTATAAGGTTTCTCATTCGTATGAACTCTCATGTGTTTTACTAGATCAGCTTTAATTGTGAATGCTTTCTTGCACATTGAACATTGATGTGGTTTCTCTCCTGTATGATACATCATGTGTTCAGTCACAATTGATTTACGTGAAAATGTCTTAAAACAAAAGGAACACATGAACGATTTTTTTGGTGGATGGGTTTTCTTATGTTCGACAAAAGTTGTTTTATCTTTAAACTCTTCTAGACATTCCGAACACCGATATGAATTACACTTTGTGTGAACTTTCATGTGTTGTAGGAGATAAGACTTTTTTGAACAGACTTTAGCACAAATTGAACACTGAGGGGGAGTTTTATCCGCGTGTAAAACCTTCTGGTGTTTTACCAGAGCTTTTTTAGAAGTAAAACTTTCTTGACACATTGAACAGGTTTTCTGTTGCTTTCTTTTGTGAACATTCATATGTTGTATTAAATGAGACTCTCGTTCAAAATCTTCTGAACACACTGAACACTTGTACAGTTTCCTGCTGGTACGAATCCTCTGTTCCCACAAGAGAGCTCTCCGACGTAGCGAATATTGATAATGTTTCTCTTGGTTACAATCATGTTTTGCTAGAGCTAATTTAGTGCTGAAGCCTTTCTTGCACACTGAACAACTGTACGACGAATTAAAATCAATCATATTTGCCTAATGAAAATAAATTATGAGTACTGTCCTGGAGAGGTTCGAATGGAAGAAATTTATGAGAATTGAATTAATACTTCTCGCTTTTACTTTGACTAGTGTTTTGTTGTGGATTATGTGCTGGTCTTGGTTTATAGAGAAGACCAACAAATGTAGTATAACAGTGTTGAATTCTTCGGTATCTTCGGCGACTTGTCTTGGGGTCTATGGAGAAACCAGGATACTTCCGGTACTTGTATATGATCCTGCGGAATATGGAAAGTAGCATTAATATTAATGATAAAATCCACAAGATCAATAAGACATTTACAACTCTGATATCTTGTCGAGACGTTTCGCTAACCTGTGGAAATGGCGAAGATCCGGGAGTGTGTTGTGGAAATCATCAATTCGTTCTCCGTGTTGCCTGACGAATGTCGGTCGACTAGAAGTGAGGATTTGGTTAACAGGTATAAGACAGCAATAGACAAATGCAGTACCATTCATCGACAACTGGAACCTTTTCAATGACAAATGATACGTATGCCTGGGTTCATTTACTAGGCTGGGGTGAAGTCATTAGCAAGCTCAGTGCATAGAGCTATTAGGGCTTTAAACTAGAAATAGTTAAGTATTTTTTTTTTAGGTAAAAAACTGAAATATGATCTAAGAAGTGGGCAGTGTGTGTTATCTAGGTAGCGGCAGGGGACCTGTTTGGGGCAGAAATTTCAGAGAAATTAATATATACAGACCACCAAATTCAAATTCAAAGTTTATTCTCTACAAGGATTACAATGCTGAGTTTACAGAATTTGGTTATTGTGTGGTTTACATGTGGTAAAATAATAATTACAGAGTGTACCACTAGAACACCTAGCATGGCTAGGCATTTCAGGCAGATTTAGTTTAATTCTTAATTTTAAATTACAAATTATGAGGTAAGTTGGTATTATGGCTAGGCGACTAAATACTAGTTTGTGAGTTTAGCAATGTGAATGCTTTTGTTTTGGCACAGTACAGTTTCAGTATTGGAGTATCACAGGCCAACTTATGACTAGTTAGGATTCATTATTTTAAGATTGAGATTAATATTTCTGTTTATGGTCAAATGGGTGAGTGAGTAAGTGTGAACCACCAGGTGGTATTCGTGTAGTTAGTTGACGGGGTGTAACAGGGAGATAAGATGTTTTCTAATGGTAGTTTTGAAGGTGATGAATGTGTCTGCAGTTCTAGAGTTTTCAGGTAGGATGTTCCAGATTTTAGGGCTTTTGACTTACATTGAATTTTTGTAAAGGTTTAGTCAGACACGGGGAATGTCAGATGTTTGTGTCTGGTGTTATGCCTGTGGGTTCTGTCACAACTATCAAGAAGGTATTTTAGGTCAAGGTTAACATTGGAATTTAAGGTCCTGTAGATGTAGATTGCACAGTAGTAAGTGTGGATGTACTGAACAGGGAGTAAGTTTAGATCTATGAAGAGTGGGGGGGATATGTTGCCAGGGATGGGATTTAGTGATTATTCTAACTGCAGCTTTTTGTTGGGTTATTATTGGCTTTAGGTGTGTTGCTGCAGTTGATCCCCAAGCACAAATAGCATAGGTGAGGTATGGATAAATAAGAGTGGTATAGTGTGAGAAGGGCATTTTGCGGCACGTAGTATCTTATCTTGGAGAGGATCCCAACCGTTTTGGATACATTTTTGGTTATGTGTTGGATATGGGTGCTGAAATTCAGGTTGTCAAGGTATAGGCCTAGGAATTTGCCCTCATTATGTCTGGTAATTAGAGTTGTCGATCTTAATGTTAATTTGTGCATCTCTTGCTCTGCTACCAAACATAATATAGTAGGTTTTGTCAGTGTTAAGCGTAAGTTTATTGGCTGTCATCCAAGTCGATATTTTGATCAGCTCCTCGTTAACAATGGTGTTGAGGGTGGCAAGATTAGGGTGAGAGATGACACAAGTCGTGTCGTCAGCAAAGAGAATGGGTTTCAGGTGTTGGGATACGTTTGGAAGATCATTGATGTATATGAGGAAGAGCAGGGGACCAAGGACACTTCCCTGTGGAACTCCAGTATCAAGTGGCCGTGTTGTTGATGCTGCATCTTTAATGATGACATACTGATACCTATTAGTAAGGTAAGATTTGAAATATGCAAGCGCATGGCTTCTTATACCATAATGGTAAAGTTTGTGGAGTAGGATGTCGTGGTTTACTGTGTCAAAAGCTTTTCTTAGGTCAATAAAAATTCCTAGTGGATATTCCTTATTTTCCAATGCTGTGTAAAGCAGATCTAGCATTTTTATGATTGCATCATTAGTACTTTTATTTTTCCTGAATCCAAATTGGCAGGGGTTGAGTATGTTTTGTGCCATTATAAATGAATATAGTCTCCTGTGCACGAGTTTCTCAAAGATTTTGGATAGCAATGGTAAGTTTGATATTGGCCTATAGTTGTTTAAATCTGTAGGGTCACCACCTTTATGTATTGGTGTAACCCTTGCCGTCTGGAGTAGTTTCGGGAAGGAGCTAAGGTTAAAGATTCATTCGTCTCTCGACCTCCGGGGAGAGAGGACGCACGCCTAGTAGCTACACCTGCCCTCTGGTGGTGACCTTTAGCCACTGGAAGGCAAAATGGCATATCGAGTGGGTCAGCGGATCAACACTGTTTGTATACAGCTGGTACGTGGCACGCTCACTGGAGAAACGATGAATACATTGCTACCCGCTATCATCAGAGACGTCTATGGTGTCCCCAACGATGAAGTATATGGTGTAGCCTTAAATGGGATGACCAGAGTATTCCTGAAACTGAATTGTACCGGCGTCTACGACAGACTTTTTGACGAGTACCAGGAGAGGAAGGTGACTGTGAATTCGGCAGTGGACGTCGTCTTGCACGACGTATCTAGGTACTATACGTAGGTGAAGGTGAGAAACGTCCCTTTCGAGGCGACTGCGTATAGTATGCAGGAGGTCTTCAACAGTTATGGTAAAGTTCATTCGGCTACGATGGGAGTATGGAAAGATGGGCCATATGAGGGACGACCTGAGGGTTCTTATACCTCAAAATGACGTTGGCTAGGCTATACCGTCCTACGTCATGCTAGTGGATTCCAGGACGCAGGTCTTTGTACACTATGCTGGCCAGAGAAGGACCTGTCGATTATGTAGCTCCTACGACCATATGGCAGCACAGTGTCCTAGGAGGCAGCCTACCAGGGCTCCTGGACGTTGGCAGTGGAGCAGCGGCCTTGTGAGTTGATGCCTGATTTGGGGAAAAGGAGGAGCAGGGACGAGTGGTTGTTGGAGTGAAGAGGTTGATCGGGAAAGTACCGACGGTCGGAAACCTGTGTTACACCCCCGGTAGGCCGGGGGAGCAGACAGGACCGTCGGGTGCTCCATCAGGAAGGAAAGATGGCCCTCAGGAAGATTTACTGAAGGACGTGTTGAGAGGTTTTTTGGACGGGTCGGGGACCCCCACCTTAAGTGCTGCCGAGGCTGATGTGAGGGAGGATCAGCAGTTGTGGTACAAACATTGTGTGGGAACTCGCTTAGAGCAAGTGGTGGAGGTGGAGGTCCATCAGGAGCAGTTGTTGGATAAAGACATGTTTTGTGGGTAGTGGTTCTAGAAAAGGCCTGCGGGCACGGTCGAGGCCGAGGAGGTACTCACGCCGGGGCAGAGGCAGGCAAAAAAGCTTGGGAAAAAGATGAGGAGTTGCTGGACCAAAAGGATCTAGTGGTTTCCTATTTCTGTAGTGAAAGGGGAAAAGGTGGGGAGGGAGCCAGGGGAAAGTCTGGTGAGGCGTGGGGTTTCGACCCCACGGGAAAAGGGATGGTAGGCAAGCCACAGGGCTTTAGGGGAACCCGGGCCGTTCTTATAAATTTCAGGTGTGTCACTAAATGTGAACGGTCTCAAGGCTGAGATCAAAACTGTGTGGTTAGTATGGTTCTTACGTAGGTTCCAGGTGGATGTGTGTTTCTTGCAGGAACACAATCATAAGATTGGTAGCGAGTTGTTGTTGCATGGGTATAATTTGTACGTTAGTTGTGCTTGGCAGTTGAAAGGGGGGTGGCGATAGCGATTAAGGGGGACCAGCCCCTTGCGTGTCATGGGTTGGGAGGAGGCAGGGGGGAGGGTTGTGAGGGTAGATGGTGTAGGGGGTGATAGAAGGAATGTTTCATAGGAGTATTTGCCGGCGTCGAGCAAACACTAGTAAAAGGCGATTTTGGGGGGGGAAAGACTTATTTTTACCATCTGCGGGGATTGCCTGCCATTACGATTATTGGTGGGGATTGGAATTGTGTTTAAATTTGGGGCCAGGATGTTGAACCCGGGGGGGGGGTTGTGTATTAGTGTTCTGAGGGATGTGTTGAGGGACGTGGGTGTTGTAGATGTTTCAGGGGGAGGAGGTTATATGGTGGAGCACACGTTCATTTCACAAGGGGTATGCTGCAAGACTGACAGGATTTACGTCATGAAGGGTTTGGAGGTCGGGAGGGTGCAGACTTTTGATGTGGGTTTCTCGGACCATAGGGCGTGATAGTGGATCTGTCGTGGGAAGGTGCCGTGCAGATTTACCCGGCTATTGGAAGTTGAATGTGCGGCTGCTCGGGGGGAAGGGGGGGGAAGGGGATTTGGAGTGGTGGAATGGGTTTTGGGGAGATAGGGATCGGGCTATGGAGCTTGTAGAATGGTGGGAGTTGCGGGCGAAACCGGGACCCCAAATTTTGTATAGAGTCAAGGGCCGTGAGGAAGCGAGATGGAGATATGGTTTGCAGAATTATTTGGAGGGACAGTTGCAGGCATGTTATGGGAGGGGGGGTGGGGAGGGGGAAGATTAGCACTGCTTTGAGGTAGGATTGAGGAGATTCATAATGAAACGTTTTGACGCGATACGTTTTCCCTTCAGGGTTGGACAATGTGTTGTGGGGGGATAAACCGGGCTGGGTATGTGCTGCTAAGTTTTTGGGAGCGTAGGAGAGTGACCACGTTATTGCAGTTAGAGACGAGTGCGGGAGTGGGGGGTTACCCGGAAGGTGAGGTCCTCGTCTCCACAGAGTATGAGGGATTTATGCAGGTGAATGGCTCAGGAGAAAATGGAGAGAGGGTGGGAGCCGGGCGCCTGGCAGGCGTCTTTCGGTAGGGGGGTTCATAAGGCTATAGGAGAAAAGGATAGGGGGGGGTTGGAGGCTGATATTAGTGAGGCAGAGGTGGCAGATGCGGTTTTCAGCATGAATACGGGTAAGGCGCCAGGCATTGACGGTTTGCCTATTGACTTTTATAGGGCTCACTAGGGGTGCACGAGGCATTGTTTAGTTGCAGTTTTGAAAAATAAAATATGCTAGATGGAAAGAGAATGGGCGAGTCACAACGTACAGGCATAGTAGTATTAGTACCAAAGAAGGAAGGGGCACGGGCACTGAGTGCTTTCCGGGCAATTTCC